TCCCTATATTGGGGCATAGGATGATATGTGAGATAATGAAAAACGGATGCAATATTAACCAATATCTTCCTTTCTGTTCGAAGGCAGAAGGAATTTTTCTGCTGAGTAGCAAAGTGTCATTTGTTTCCATCTGTCCAGATCCAACTTCTTGCAGGCAGATGGGGATAATCATAGTCACTTTTCTCATTGCTGGGACACAATAGCTGACACAACTTAAAGGAGCAGAGGTTTATTTTGGCTCGCATTTTTCAGACGTTTCAGTGCAGCACTGGCAGGCTCAAGTGCCGCAAAGGACGTGGTGGACGGGCCTGGTGAAGACAGCTGCTCCTGTCCTGGTGGCCAGGAAGCAGAGAGAGAAGGGAGGAGCTGAAGAGAGAAATAACCCCTTCCAGGCCACGCCCCTGGTGAGCATCTCTTCCTGCCAGGCCCCGCCTCCCAACAGCACATTCAGTGACCCCGTGATCCAATCACCTTCCAAATCTCTGCCTAAGAGCACGAGGCTGCTCTTGGTGAAAAAGTCTTATTTCTGTCATTCTAAGGACCAGCCAATTACCACAAGCATATTTTTTCTCAGGTTAGGATTTCTCAGGCATTATCTTAAGAGCTGGACCCAGTGGCTGGCCCAGAAAGTCGGAGCAGGCCTGAGGTTTGGCCCAATCTACTTTCAAAGCACTCACGGTCTTAGAAATCCACGTCTCTGCTATGAATTTCCAACCCAATTGTGACATGGTCAACTCCACCTGGTGTCTCCCAGCCATCTCAAATGCGTCAGGGTCAGCGTGGAAATCACTACCCTCCCACAGGCTGTTCCTTCTTCAGCCTTGTCCACCTCAGTGAGCGAGGCCGCCCTCAAGTGGCCACCAGGACCCGAAACCCTCATGGCAGACCCCACCCGTGAGTTCCTTTGTAGCCTCCGAGCCCCTTGGAAAGTTGTCTGTTATCTGCCCCCTTATCCGACCCAAACGTTCCAGACCTTGATCCAGGTTCAGAGTCTGCCGAGGACCTGTTGTTCCTCACAGACGGTACTTCCTATGTGTCCTCAGCAGGAAAGGAGGTGAGGTTGCTCCCTTTGACCTCTCTGACAAGGGCACTGATCCCATCCATGAGGGCTCTGCCCTCAAGACTCAGTCACCTCCTAAGCACTTACACACACCTCTTTTCATTGCTTGGCAAGTTAGGCTTCAGCATCTGAGCGGGGAGGGCAATCAGTATTCAAGCCATAGCAGTGACATAAAAATAACTGCAGTGAAACAAAACAATGTTAGGAATTGCTGGTTATTGCCACCTGCCAAATGTACTGATCCTCTCCTTTGTTAAAAAGGAAGACAGCAAGTGTCTGAGACGAAGGAGATAGCAAGATGGAACTGAGCCTCCTCTTCTACCTAGTTCAAGGGATAAATGAGAATTCCTAGGAATAATTTCCTCACCCTTGACACAGGATGTTGAGTGAGGTCAGCATCACTTCATAACGTCACAGCTCAACCCCAGTGCTCTTCATGGTCCCCATTTGTAGGGGCTCAGTGGGTCCCACACCCTTCCTGGATCCTGGATCTCTTGCTCTCTCTCTCTCTCTCTCTCTCTCTCTCTCTCTCTCTCTGTCTGTCTCTGTCTCTGTCTTTCCTTGCAGCTGCCATCATTGCATGTTAAAATTGCTAGATCAATTCTTCTACTTTGTTTCCCTGGAACTTTTTGTTCTATTTTCTGGGATGTTTCCTTGACTTCATCTTCCACACCTTCCTATTGCATTTCTTCCATTTCACATACACTTGGTTTCTGAGAGTCTTCCTTTCTTATAACTTCTCGTGTTTTACTGACACAGTATCTCCCTCGACCTCTCTGAGAGTATTCGTCTCAGTTGTTTTGAAGTTTCCTCTTCCCTGTATTTCTTCTGAGTTTCCTGTGAAGTCCTTTTCTCTATTATTTTGCTCTCATCTTTTCACTTTGAAGGTTCCCCCACTGCGGGTGTGGGTGCCTGCAATCCGCTCTGGGCCTTGGACTGGGAGTGGCATTGGCCTTGGCCTGGCTGCCGAGGATGTGGCAGCTGGACCAGGGGAGGGAGCCGAGGTCAGGGACCCCATTTAAGATTCAGACCCTGCTATATTGTACCCCACCTTCTCAACCCTCCACCCACTTCACCCACTTCCAGCTCGACCAGTGGAGGAGTGCAGAGACCCCACAGTCTGGAAGCAGAGCCCCCACTGCTTGGCCCTTGCATGCCCTGACCGTGGGCCCTGGCCATTTCCAGGTCTGGAGATGCTCAGGGATCTGGGCTGACTGGTTTCCCGGCTTCCCCAACATCAGAGCGTCCTCCACTTGGTCAGATCAGCTTCTTCATCTGCCTTTGTGTTTTGAACATGAGATGGGAAGACCTCATGCTTTGGTATTCAGGGTCCTCAACTCTGTGTCTATGAGGATGATTTTTATTTGTTTTTCAGTCCTGGGGACTGAACCCAGAACCTTTGCCCTGAGCTACATCCCCAGCCCTCTTTATTTTTTTATTTTGAGACAGGATCTTGCTAACTCAGTAAGTTCCCAGGCTGGACTGGAACTTACAGTCCTCTGTCTCAGCCTCCCCAAGTGCTGGAATCAGGCTCACACAGTTGTCTTGCTAGGGACTCATCCAGTCACAGAGTAGATGTGCCCTATGCCAAGGACTCTTCTGTGACACAGAGCAAGTCTGCAAACACCCTTGCATCTGGAGCACGGGTTCCTGAGGTTGCAGTGGGCCTGGTCCCCTGACCCGGGAGCTGCACTGACACCACTCAGGCCTGTCCCTCCCTGGTGGAATCCACACTGCCATCAACCTCCCGATGAGAGTGGGGCCTGATGTGGTCACTATGGGGCTCCTCCCTTCCAGCTTCTCCCTGGTTCTCTGTCCTCACTTCCTGACCCTGTTCTTAACTCAGAGCCTCCTTTGGACTCGGGGGCCCCATCTTCACTCAGGTCAAAACCTCTCCTTGCGGACTCAGCTCCTTGGCCACCTCCTCTGGACCATTGCAGCTCTTCCTCCGAAGCTGCAGAGCCTGGAGTGCATGGACTTCTTTGTTGACTTTGCTGTCTGTTGGCCTTCTCTCCCTTCCTCTTCCTCCTCCCTCCAGAGGCAGGTCCTTGTCCCTTTGATGTGTCAGTCATTTGCCATGGCCGGGAGCATTCAGTAACCACACATTAACATAAGACTACTGTCACACGTCATCAGGGCCGGCTTCTCAGTGCTCCCGGGAGAAAGGAGCTGTGGGCTCCATTCCGGGTGGGGAAATGAAGCTCCCTTTGAGGACACAACGCCCCCTCCGCCGCCGCCGCCCCAGCCAACTCTGCCATCCGTGGGACAAGGGTCAAAGGGTGCTCTATTCAGAACACTGACAAGACCCAGAGCCAGGGCCCTAGTTGTCTTGGAAAGGCCACCAACACTTCGATTTACCTCTTTTCTCTGCCATGAAGACACAGATCCCAGGAACTGTCACAGATGTGGCCATGTGTCAGCTTCAGACTGATAGAAAGGAAACGAAGCCCTGCTCACATTTAGCTGGTCTGAGTCTGTGACCACCCCCACCCCATGTCTGTCCCTCAGGGCTCCCCTCCCTCCCAGCTCCCCTGCTGCTCCTTGGGCGTCCCCTGCCATGTCTCCCCCAGCATCCTCCATGGTGCTGGGCATGGCGGTTTCCAGGAGCTGAGTGCACAGCTCAGGACAGAGTTGGGAGCCTTCCCTGCAGCCTACCCAGCACCCCCTCCTGAAGCTCCTAGCACTCAGCTCCATGGGAGGGGACTGAGCACCCCCACCCCTGTGAGATCTTTTTTTCTACTCCATGGGCCTGAACCTGGGGACCCTCGGCTTCTACACAGTGGGATGTGACACAGTAGAAATAACCTCCTTCAAAGTATATCTGACTTCTGCCTAAAATTTCACCACTAAAAATTCAGACTTTTCAATTCAAGCATAGACAAGAGTTCTCAAATTAAAAATAGCAACAGAATGGGTTAAACACTGAAAATTTACCTTCATAAACTATGCTCCTGGACTTGTTCCCCTAGCTGCCAAAAGACCCATAGGAATGATTCCCAACCTCAATCGGTGGAATTTCATCACAGTATCTGTCCTCTCACACCAGCCACCAAAGCCTTCCTTGTAACTTTTCTTTATCAATTTATCTTTCATGTAATGCGTATATTTTAAAGGAGAACGTTAGAGCAGTATCTCAAAAGGCAAGCCAGCATCATTTGCTTTCAATAGAAGGTAACTATAAGGAAAAATAAATAATCACCAATCGGTAGTATCAAACTCTGGTTAGGTAGTATCAAACTCTGATGTGATGGAGCAGACCCGTGATTCCAGCCACTTCCTGTGGACAGAGAACCCAAGAAGCCCGCTGCCCCTTTCCTGGGGGCCAGTGTGAAGGTGTTTATTATTCTGGTGGAGCGACGCCTCGCCAGACACTTCCTGCAGTAGGCTGTTCCGCGATCATCTCCTCCAGAACAGATGAAGATGAAAATGCGCTGGGGCAGGCTGAGTCAGAGCCACCCCCGCGCACCTGCACAGCCTGGGTGCCCCATTCAGCTCTCGATTCCCTCCTCTGCAGCCCTCTCCAGTGCTACCCGAGAAAGCCCAGCAGGCCTTTCAGAATGACTTGGAGAATGACGTGCAGGTGTGTTGCCTAGAAGAGATACAGGGCTTTGCTGATGTGCTGATATTACAAAGCGCCCTGCACCACTCACTAAGGCGAGCTTGATCCGGCAACTCCTGCCAAGCTCCCTCGTCCTGTGCAGGGTAGGGGAGACCTTCCCACCTTAGTGACCCACGCTGGCCGAGGCGCTCTGTGTACAGGGACCTCTTCCCGGGGCAGCTTCTCACCCAAGGCCCCCACGCCGAAGGGCCACCCCTTGCCTTCATGCTTTGCTCCCGCTGTCTTGAAATTATTTAAAAACTTGACAAGGGCCACATGTTGTTTCTGCCCTGGACCTCACTACCTATGTAGCCAATCCTGCTGTTACTTCTGGTCCTGTAGTCCTACATCGACCTACAAGGGAGGACCCAGCACCCTCCTGGTGCAGATGAGAAACCAGACCAGAGAAATAAAGATGGCCCATGGTCCCTCAGGGAAGTGGCACCTCCCACATCCCGGCCTTCGTCATCAACCTCCTCAACCCCTGCAGCCGGCTCCAGCAGCGGCAGTCCAGCAGAGCAACTTCGCAGTGTGAGTGGCCACGCCCATGCCTTGTTTTTCTATTTTCTGAGTCCCTCCCTAGCAGAGTGCCGGCTCCCTGAGCATGAGAACTGAGTGCTGCCTGGCGGCCTTGCTGAGTGAGTAGAAAGAGTAGAAAATTCCCACAACCCCATTGCTTGGGACCTTGTTGTTACCCTAGGTCAGGCACATCCAGCCCGTGACCCAGAGCCCATGTGTAGTCCTGGGCAGTTGGTGATGCAGCCCCACAAGGTCATAAGCTTTCAATGGTAGTGTGTGATTTTTAGTGATATTCTTCATGACTGGGTTGTGTGATGCTTGAGTGTGGACTCTGTAGGCAACAGTGGTCGCTGTGTAGCGGAAGGGATCTGGTCAGTGATTAGTGCTAACCCAGCCTCTGGCGCTGCACACACACGCAGTCTGTCCAATCATAACTAAAGCGTATCGGGCATTACCAAGCTTGTGCAACTCAGTGAGTCAAGGGCAGAAGTAGCAGACAGTAATATTGCTTTTTTCCTGTTTTTATTAGTACATATTTATGATACATAACAAATACATTTATTGTGGAGAACTGGTATCTATTCATATTGCATCTTGATCCTTTTTATTTCCCCTTCCCCTACCCTCCCTCCCATGTCCCCCCCTCCTCAGGTCACCTTCCTTCTATTGAGGCCTTCAGCTGATTAGAGCAGACCCACCCACACGGTAGAGAGCAATTTACGATCCTCAGTGTGCAGGGATTGGATGTTAATCCCATCTCAAACACCACCATGCAACATCCAGAATTACACCAAATAATCCAGAAACATGGTCCAGCCACGTCCACACATAAAATTACCAATCCCACTGTGTGACTCCCAGCAAGCATATGAGACTCCGGGTGTCAGAATCTTTATCTGTAAAATGGGAGTGATGATATCCTCTATGGCACAGGATGGATGTGGGAATCAAACGAAAAGTGCATCTTTATGCGTGCTGGGGACAGTGCCCCACAGCGTGGCCAGTATGAACACAGGACCAGACTCACTCCCGCAGGGTGCCTGACTTCTTCCCTCTGGGCTACATCCTCCCTAGGGAGGGAAACATGAGAGGCTCCCCAGGTTCCTCTCTGCCATCACCCTGAGAAGCATGATTCTCAACAGCCTAGAGGAAAATACTGGGATTCCCATGCTGGTCTCCATCCTGCTGCCCTCTCCACAACCCTCTTTCTTATTTAGAAATTAAGCATGTTCTCAACATCTGATGTATTCATTAAACCCTTGGTGTATGCAAGGCTGGGCTAACTGCTAAATGATGTTAGCATCATCACGTTGAATTCTCACCCTGACCCTTCCAGGAGGACCCAGTGATGGGTTCACTTTACAGATGAAGAAACTAAGGCTCAGAAAGGCTTGGAGACCCAGGGGTGGTTGGTTTCTGATAGAGTTAATGTCCCTTCCAGCCTTGACAGTCTGGGACTCTAGGATGCTCGTGCCTTTTGGCAGCAAGCCCTGTTGGATGATACTCAGAGAGACTGAGCCCTAAAAATAGCAACTCTTAAAATATTAACTCACTGAGATGTCTTCAACAGACTCTGCTTTGAAACTGGGGCTCCCACATTCCTGGGAAAATCAAGGAAAGGAAATCCTTCCCTCCACGGTGCCACCACGGGCCATGCGGCTGGCTGCAGGTAGTGTGTGCTGGGACATGTGCTTGTTTGCTCTCCCACGGACCTTGCCAGGGAGCCCCAGTCCCACACACGTGTGTTCATGCACTGAATCCAGAGGTGACTAACACCCCCTGCACGTGCCCGTCACAGCCACCGAGCTGAACGAGCCTGGCCTGCAGGGAGCCCGCAGGACGCAGCTACTGGAACACAGCCATCCTATCTGTTTCCCAGAGGAATGAGGGGCAGGATGGTCCCCAGAGCCTGTGTCTTAATGAGCCCATGCTGGAGTTGGAGATGAATTCCAAAAAAACACCCCAGATCAGCTCAGGGTAACCCTTGTTGCCCCATGGCTTAGTCTGTTTTCTGTTGCTCTAACTGAATGCCACAGGCTGGGTAGTTTATAGGGAACAGAGGTTTATTTAGCTGGAGGCTCTGGAGGCTGGGAAGTCTAGTATCAAGGGGCCAGTGTCTTGTAAGACCTTTTGTGCCGTAACATGGCAATAGGCAATAGAACACTGGCCAGCACCCTGAGAACTCACCGAGAATTGCAGCCCCTTCCATGAATCCGCCATCCCTGCATCAGTTTCACAAAATCAAAGTCAAAAATCCCACTAGTTTTATGTTTATGTTGCTCTCTTTTTTAAAATATTGTAACAAACATGTTAAAAATAAAGTTTCCCCAACATGTGTCCCATCGTAAAGTGGTGCAGGACTCTCCGTGGTCCTAAGATGGGCTGAGCAGAAGGTGACAGTGCTGCAGTGAGGAGAAGACAGAGAAGCAAGGACCCAGGGCACGGCGGGAGCAGGGAGCAGGGCCCACTGTCCAGCGCTGCAGGCTGTGAACACCAGGACTTCGGGGCCAGAAGGGCAGGGTGGATGGGACTATGCAGGGCCACATGCTGCTGGTGCCCAGGGACCCAGAGCGGATGGCATTGCAGTTCTCTCCTCGTGGGCCCAGGCCGTCATGAGAAAGCAGAACTGGACCGGGGTCTGGGTTTCACCAGTGTCCAGGTTCAGTGGGGCCTCTGGAGGTATAGCACATGGACTGCAGGTGGGCACAGTGCCAGGCGGGGCTGCAGACCTGGCCACAGGCCCCACTCAGTGGCATCAGTGCTGACAGACGTGGAGGGTCCCACCACACACCTGTCCTCGTGGGCACTGCTGAGGCAGTGAGGTACCTGAGAAAATGCAGGTGTGACTTGGTCCTCGTGGGGCATCAAACAGGGCTTCTAGGAGGAGGTGGCACCCAGTAAAGAGCTGGCAGATGGGGTGGGCTGACTGGGGGCAGTAGGGACCAGAGGAAGAGCTCCGGGAGGCCGGGCAGTCGCTCAGGAACAAGAGCTGCGATGTATCTGTGATGTGCACAAGTCAGTCGTGTGGCTCTGCCCCTGACACCTACACCCTATACAGACAGCTGAAAAGAATGAATACCCTCTGTGTACCTGTGGGCTGGGTTCGAATCCTGCTTCAGCCACTTTTTCCCTATGCTGGCAGGGAAGCCTCTTCATCTCCCTGGGCTCTGCTTTCCTCATTTCTAAGAACACCAGGCAGTTTCTCTTGGGCTGGCAGGTGGATTCAGTGAATTAGATGGAAAGGGGCTTGGTGAGTGATAAAAATGCACAAACACTGGAGGTGGACGTGATCGTTGTGAAGTTGGCTTCTAATTTTTGCCACTTCGTGCTTCTCCCAAACTCCCTGGGGAGTGGGGGTGGGGTGGGGACGGGAGAAGTGACCATCACTGCATGAGCACCTACCACATGCTAGGAACTGGGCCAGGTGTTACTCATGCACGGTTTCATTTCATCCTCACGTGACAGGTGAGGAAACCGAGGCCCACAGAGTAGCCCTGCAGTAAGGATCTGAAGTGTCACTCTCGGGTTAAAAAGCTGCATAGCTTCCCTGATCACCACAGGTTGTCTTCCAGCCGCTCCAGGGCATGCAGCTAGCTTCCTCCTCTGTGGCAGGTTTTTGTTATTCTACATCTGCTGCTTCAGCAGTGCCTGCCTGGAGGAGTTGGCGCCTGGGAGAGCAGGCTGGCTCCTGGACGGACCGACAGGTGAAATGTGGCATTCTAAGAGCAACCAGCAAGACGTCACACCAAGCTGAGTAGGGGTGCAGGTGACACCTGAGCTGCTCGGGAAGGGCAACCCCCTCACCGTGCCTGAACAGCAGCATGGCTGGGCCCACTCCCCATGGAGGAGTTCATGGAGCCCACTGCCTCCGTGGACATGTCTGCGAATCCTAACACCCTCCAAGTGTCCAGGAGATGCGCTGGGAAATAATCAGCCATGCAGTCGCCTTGGAGACGGAGTTTACACCCGCCCCATGGAGGGTACAGCTCTGGAACCGACCTGATCAGCGCTGCCCGTGCTGATACCTGTTTGGCAGGAGAGACACAAGGAGAGCGAAGTGTTCAGCTCAGGTCAGAACTAGCCCAGCAGGCTGTGTGCACATTTTTAAAAATGCTCCCCAGCCTTTCAATAAAGTCACAACCATTTTGTCCACGTAGGATGTAAGCGTTCGTCCTTAGTCAACAGATTTAGAAGTTGGCAAATGTTGCACCCAGTGAGAAAGAACCAACCAGAGACCGATATTAAATCCACACAGGAGTTTATTACCAGCCGGGACCCGAGCCGAGCATCGGCTCGAGCCTCAACTGGGGGAAGACAAACATGTTTTATACACCTTTGAGGCCAACAGTTCCTAGGCCCCCCTATGGGATAGAACTAGTAAAGCAAGCAAAAGGTACAGAAGCAGAACATCCTGCTGTTAGAACATTTGTAAAACAATAGTTGATTAATTGTTATTTCTAAAGAGACTTTCTAAGGGGAGGAGGTTTTTAAGCTTCCTCCTTCTGAGTTCATCTAAAGGGCAGGCAGGTGAGTCAAGCAGCAATATGGAGTCTGTCTTGCTAACTAGGGTCCTTCAGCAAATACATCCCAGTGGACACTTTCATTTCTGAGATTCTTTTTTGAAACACAAAATTGCAGTCTGCCAACCGGTGCTGTGGGCACCAGAAGCCATTAAGGGGTCTTATGTAGAGGAAAGACAGGGTCAATTTAATGTTTTCTAAAGCCATTTGAGTCATATTAAAAAAGAAATGCAGCCTGACTTGAAGGGGTTGTAATAAATAAAAAGCAGACTGGAATGTGAATAAAGTAATTTTTAAAAGAATACATTCCTTGTAAGCACACTGCTTAAATGATGATTGCTTACTTTAGAGTTCTGAGAATCTTAATTCTTTTATAGCGCCCCCCACCACCACCATTCACGCAACCAGAGGACATTGATGGGCAACTTAAAAAGAGGTCAGATCTTTGCGAACATTTGATCTCCGACAAGTCTCAAGGGGAAGCTGGGACTTTACTGACCTTCTGTGGATAGTTTTTCCTTCACCCATAAAGTACTGCCTCCTCCGAAAGTCGTGTCGGGCTTAAGAGAGGTGACACATGAAACGTCCCCGCAGCGTGCAGTACTACATAGCCCACTACACATCGTCAAATGTGCTCGAGTGGCACCCAGTAGGCACGCGGGATGGTGCCAAGATAACCAGCACTGCTGGGAACATGGAAGCGTCATGCTGGGGTCTGTGCCCTGCACCCCGTCCCTGCCACCACGGGACACAGGAGACAGAGGAGTGGAAGAAGTGATAGTCGATGCGTAGTGATGCTGTCCACCTTCTTAATTGCTACCGCGCGTGCCAGTGTAGTGTGATTCCAAAACGTGGGAACCAAGTTCATTAGCTCTTGTCCCTCATCAGCTTGTCCCATTCTAGCCGACCAAGGCAAAGGTCAAGCAAGGGCATCCCGAAAAATCACTGCCCGAACAAGACCCAGGGAACGCATCTGGCCACCCTTCCCTGGCACCCACGCTCTTGGCTGGACCCCAGCACTGACAAGCGTCTGCCACTTGCTGCAACAAAGCAGCCCTGCCTCCATTGTGCCTGGCCCGGGGCCAGTTGCTGTCATAAGAAGCCTCTCAGCGAATCCTCACTGCAACCCTCTAGAGTGGGTGTTACTGCCTGAGGCTCGGAGCGGGCTGTGTGCCCGTCCACTTGGCCTGCAAGAGGCAGCCAGGCCTGGGACTCTCGCCCTTCTCCATCCTCCTCCCACCCCCCAAGTACCCCACCCCATGCCATATCCAGAAGGGCCAACTTTTCGGCTGAAAAACAGACATTTCACCAGCCTAGCCTGCCCCTTCCCCACCAGGGCTTGATTTGTCTTCAGGTCTCCAGGAGATTGCCAGCACGGAATACCAAGAAGCACCCACAAGGGACACAGGCAGACCTGTTCCCATGGCTCTCCCTGGCATCTCCTTTTAAAGTAGCCCAGCTGATGGCTTATGTGGGGTTTGACTGGAGCGGGGGAAGAAACCAGGTTTTGTAGCCTCTCCTGACCACTTTCTGTCATCACAATGTCAGCCTGCCCAGCTCTGAAATTATAGCCCTGTCCTCAGAAAACATCGCCACAGCCTCCCCCATCCACGTTGGGCTTCCGGTGCCCTTTCTGGATGCAAGAGCCCTGGTTTTCAGCAGGATGACGCTGGAGGCCTGAGATACAATCAGTGTAGAAAATAGGGCTGGAGGAAACTGTTCAAAGAAAGGCTCTGATAAGATGCTCAGCCTGCACAATGTCCTTCTCGCTCAAGGACTCAGAGGTTTCCCCTCCTCCATGGGGCTCTGTGGGAGTCGGCCCGGGAGTCTCCTGGGAAAGCGACCTAATTCACTCTGCTGACCTTCCAGACTGTGCCCCAGAGCTCTCCTGAGCTCCTCTGAGAAGAGCCACAGTGGTCCTCCCATGTCCCTTATTTCCATACTTCGTACACACCCGGAGCTGAGCTGAGCTGAGCATTGTACCAATGCCATTGCCTCCAACGGTCACAGTTACCCTGAGGGAGCTACTATTCTCCCCATTTTCATGATAAAGAAAATGAAGCCAGGTGTGATGGTGTACATTTGTCATCCCAGCACTCAGGAAGCTGAGATAGGAGGGTTGCCATGAGTTTGAGGCCAACCTGGGCTACATAGTGAGTTCAAGGCCAGACCAAACTGCATAGCCAGACCCTATCTCAAAAAGAAAAAAAAAAAAAATTAAAAAGATGAAGAAAATGAGGCTCAGAAAAGTTGCCCAAGATCACATGACCAGTGTGATTGTTTCCTCTTGCTGCCTAACTAATTACCACTGCTGTGATGATGTCCTTGAGCCAGGGGTGAAGCCCAGATCTCCCGGGAACTCTGCTTGGGGTGTCCCAAACTGCAAACCAATGCTCCTCTTTTCTCTCAAGCTCTCACAAAGCTTGGCAGAAGGACTATGGTCCCCACTTTCTCGCTACTCACTGACTAGAGACCATGCTCAACTCCTAGAGGGGCCGCATGTCCCTCCAAGCCCCTCCTCCCTTGTGCCAGCGTGGGTCCTCCGAGCCAGCAAGAGAGGGTCTCCCTCCAGGCTGCTGGGACAGAGTTTTACAGTGTTGCTATGTGATGTAACCTGATCAAAGGGCCCAGAGTGTGTCACAGTCAGCCCATTTCTCCTTGTGGCCGTTTGCTGCCCAGGCAGCTCCCTGGGGTGTCCAGAGCCGGCTCTGCTGTTCTGAGAGGCCTCCTCTGGCCGTGTGGAGAGGTGGGGCCCTTCTGCGGTCTCTTCTCCAGGCCCTGGTGTCTTGTCTTTGAAGCAGTCACCTCAACTTGGGAACTGCCATTTGTTCACACGCCTGCCTCCCTCCTAAGCAGCAAGGACCCTGTCAGACTGGGCTTACTCTGTGGTTCCCCCGTGACCACAGAGGGCCCTTGTGAGTGCTGTGTGCTGAGAGCCTCACAGAGGCACGTGTCCTGTACTAGATGCTTCCTCCACTCAGTAAAGGAAACCCAGGCAGGGATGACCGTGCTGGCAGGAGAGGCCTTGGCGTGGAATGCCAGGCCCTGTGGTGGTCTACAATGACGTAAGTCTACTCTCATCATTTCGGCCACACGTGCGAAGCCACAGTATGCCTGGGCCATGTTTCCTCAGGGCGTCTTGGGGACAGTCATCCCTGGATTCCCCAATTTCTGTTCCTTGGCTGCTTTGCTCTGATCTCTGTCCCTGTCTCCGCATGGCTGTCTGCTCCCCTGTGTCTGTGTCCACATCTGCAGCTCCTTTCTCCTCTGAAGACATGAGTCATCGGATTAGGGACCCACCCCGAATCCGGGATAATTTCATCTTCAGACCCTTAACTAATTACATCTGCAAAGACTCCATTTCCGCATAAGGTCCTGTTCTGAAGTTACAGGGGCTGTGGATTTGGGGGCACACTGTTCAGCCCGTGCACAGGGTCACACTTTCTCAGTCTCGCAGCTCAGCTGCCTGCCTGTCTTCCTGCTCACGATCTCCGTGGGTCACGGCCCTGACGCCTCCTAGACCACAGCCACAGCCTCCCGTCTCCATGCCCCGAACAAGGTCATCCCCATCTGTTATGGCTGTGTCGTGATGCCCCCCAAAGCCTCATGGAGTCGTAGGCGGGGCCTTTTCTGAAATCGGTTCATGGAGCAAGGCTAGGCTCAAGGGCACTAGGATTGAAGGTGTGAGTGCTGCCCACCCTAAGTAATCTGCTTAAGATAAAAGGGCCAGAGAGACGCTGTTGAGGGCCCCCTGGTTCTCCTGTTGCTTTGCTACCTTCGGCCCAACAGGAACTGTGGCCCCTCTGCCTTGGAGCGAGCTCCAGCCTGTTATGGACTTTCCACCTTAAAGGATGAGCTGAGCATTTGCTACTACATCATTTTAATTCTTGACAAGTCTTTCATTTCCCTGCTGGGAGCCACCCTGCCCCGGGAGCCACCCTGCCCCGGGAGCCACCCTGCCCCGGGAGCCACTCACACTTGACACTGGGGCTTCTGGCTTTTGTTTTGATTTTGTCCCTTCTCGAGTTTGTGCCTCCCACGGGACTCCCTGGCCGCCTCTGCACATAATCGCTTTGTTTGCAGAAGATATTTTGTGAACTGGGCAGCAGGGGCCCTTTTACTTAATGCTCATCAAAATTCATGGGCTCCAAGAGTCACGATGAGACTAAACGTTTAAATATATAGGCCGAGTGTCTCTTTCCTCCCGAGGAAGCCAGCGTTTGACCTTATTACAGACAACCTCAGTGCGTTCTCGGGTAGAATGAGTATTTGATAAACTCTGGGTGATTGCGCTTTATTGCCAAGAAAGCTGTCATTAGTCTCAGTTACTTTGACATTTATTATAAACGACTGTGTGCAGCGTGCGTTTCTGCAATCCGTGTTTCAGCGCAGAGCTTTGGCAAGTGCGTGCACATTTGCAGTAAGCCAAGGTCCTACGTCACCTTCCCTTCCATGCTGGCCTGTGCCCCACCTTCCTTCATGGTGCCCAGCATTGCTCCCCCCCCCTTTAAAAGTGCCACTTGGAAAGATGGGCATGGTGGCACACACTTGTACTCCTAGCACTCCAGGAGGCTGACACAGAGGGATCACAAATCCAAGCCCAGCCTGGGCAATTCAGCAATCTAGTGAGGGCCTGTCTCAAAATAGAATATTAAAAAAAGGATTAGGGATACAGCTCAGTGCAAAGGCCCTAGGTTCAATCTTTAGTATTGGAAAAACAAAATTTTATAAAGTGCCACTTGGGAGTAGGGAGGCCTATTGCTATAATGGTGACACGGGCCTCTGATTTTGCCACATAGACCACTGTGTGAAATGCTCTTCACAGAGGGCCAGAGAGTAAGAACTTCAGGGCTGCATGGTTACATCAGTCCCTGTTGTATACTCTTTGCCACTTTTGTTCATTTGTTTGTGAGTTACTTTGTTTTTACAACCTTTTAAAGATATAAAAGCGATCTAAGCTTACAGAGCATACACACAGAACCAGGTGGGGGTCTGGATATGGCCAGAGTGTGCTGTCCTCTGACTCCCTGTGTTCCTGTGTGGGACAAGGCAACCTCATAGCAGGCACGTGCCTCAGCCAACTGGCACAGACACCATCTAGTCTCTACTGGAACAACAAAATAAAACTGCGGATGTATATGTCAAGAGGTTCTTGGATACTTAGAGCAGAGATGTCAAAAATTCAAAATATTTAGGAAAAACAATAGTCAAGCAATCTGCCTGCAGTTCCAGACCAGAAAAGAAAATGTTAGCATGATGACTCTTCTGCCCCATCTGAGACCTGGCAGGGGCAGGCATCAGGGTCCCCTCAGCAGACCCCAGGAATCACATGGCCCACTTCTCTGTTTTCTCTTCCAGGGACATCAAGCCGGACAACATCTTGCTGGACGAGCACGGTAAGCCCGTGGGGGCTCCTTGGGGACACTGCAGTGGACAGCATGGGGTTCTGGGCAGCGGGTGGCCTGGTGAGCTGGTCTAGGGCTGGCAAGCAAAGCCTCCCTCTGTTCCCATCCTGGAGGGTGGGCATCAGGCCGAGTTGAGTTCCTCTGAAGGTTTGGCCTCTGAAGTCATTGCTGTTCATCCCCTGCTTTGGGGACTGCAGGGTGCAGTGGGGACAGGTGTGGGAACCCCAGGTCGCTCACTCATGACCCTTTGGAATCTCTCTGATCCTCAGTGTCAAGATGGGGAAGTGGTGCTCCATTTCCGGGTCCCCTGGTACCTTCTCAGGTTGGCTTAGAGGTCTGAGTGGGCCTGAGACCTTGAGTCTCCACTGCTCCCCCAGGAGGGCAACACGGGTGCTCTCAGGACCACATCTTGGACAGTGAGATGCCCTTGGTAGGTGTCCCAGGCAGCCCTGTCCTACCTCAGTGAGCTAGTCCTCCAGGTTCTGTGTTAGATTCCGGGGTTTAGTGCTTTGGGTTCTGCTCTGAGGTCCATAGGAGCCACAGAAGAATAACTGCCCAGTGGGGTTTAGAGCAACCACTGGAGTTGACGGATGGAAAAATGGACCAGGAAGAGCAGATGAGCCCCATCAGGAACCAGGTGTGTCATCTGCTAGGGCCACCAGAGCAAATTCCCTGGGGACCTGGGGTCTTAACCCACAAATATTCACTTCCAGCACATCTGAGATTCAGGAGTCATTGAGGGGCAGGGGGCATCTCTTCCCTGGGTCCTCACACGTGTCCCTCTCTGCAGCCTGTGACCTCATCTCCTCTTCTTCTAAGGTCACCAGGCAGATGGGACCAGGGCCATCCTTGTGACTTCCTTTTAATGTTTCAATTAAACAACTTATCTCCAAATGCAGTTACATCCCAAGGTGCTGGGGGTCTGGGATCCGTATCCCCAAACATGAATGTAGAAGGAAGACAATCCTAGGCAGAACAGAGGACAAACAGGAGAAGGGGTGGCCCCGGGACCCAAAAGGCTCCCCTGGGTCTGGCTCAGGTCACTGGGTGGTGCCCACAGAGGGAGCTCACTCCAGCTATGGCAAAGCAGGTCTTCTAAGGTACTCGGCATTCAGTGGACCAGGGAGGCATCCTGACGGCCACTTCTACTCCTTCTACTAACAGCTCCCACTATCATTTTCAGACTTTCACCTACATATGAAAACCACCCAGGGATTTTCTCCCAAGCCAACCAGGGATTTCCTGGAGCTCACAGAAGCACCTGGGCCAGAGGTCAGGTGAAAACTCACATCTGATATCTCCGAGCTGATGACAACACAAGGAATGTGACTTTCAGGTCCCTCCACAAGAATTTAATTCTATGCATTCATTTTGGGTGGTCATTCAATTGGAGTGCTCTCCATTGAGTGAAATGCTACGCCTGTTCCCACATGGGTTACAGGTACACTTGCAATGGCATCTACCACACCTGCTGTAATCCACTCTCCAAGGCCGTGTTCAACACCGGGAACTCCCTGCTGCTATTTAAAGGCCCCATCGTGGGGCTTGTTAAGTGTTGTCTCAGAGAACAAGCTGGTGAGCCTTGTTTCCAATGAAATATAAACAGCATTAAATATGAGGTGTGATCAAAATATATACTGAATGTTTAAATTCTAAAAATGTATTACATGAAGCCCCCTCAGAATCCTCCCCCTCAGTTCAAACACACTCACCCCACTGGTCCTGCTACTTTCTAAAGCAGTTCAGGAAGTTCTCTTTCCTCAGTGTCTTTATAAGGTGTGAGCAAAAATACACAAATGCTGCTGCCGAGCACCATCCAACGGAAAGGCAGGCTTGTAAAAACATGGCGCGGTGTCCTCATCCACCTTATTCGCTGGAACTGGCATCTTGTGACTTCTGGCTCTTCCTCAAAGTCACAATGACCATGAAAGGGAAATATTTTGAATGGATTGAGGACAGTGAGGTGTCCGTGACAGTGCAGCTAAAGACACTCATGAAAGAGGACTTCCAGAACTGCTACAGAAAATGGCAAGAACATTAAGTATGTTTGAAGCAAGAGAGACGATTTTGAAAGAGATTCACCGCAATGTGTCTTTTATTGCAATACAATTTTTCGTAAACATTCCCTGTATCTTTAATCACACCTTTTAAACTCATTAATGTTCTATTCATCATGCTCAGCCCGCTAGTTACACAGTCCCCACATCCCCACGGGCCTCTCTGCTCCATGGTGTCTGCCAGCTTCCTGCTCTTTCGGGGTGGATGTTCAGTCTTAGGACGGGCACAAGCAACAGCCCGTCAGCTCCAGGTTGTGGGGTGAAGGGTTCAGGCTGGGCCCAGCTGGTCTTGGCTGGATTTGCTGCCAATGGTGGAAGCAGCAGGGACCACAGGCATAGGTGAGCTCTGGGTCTTTCCCCACACGGTGATAAACTGCCGCAAAGACTGGCACAGAGGGGAGTCAGCACCACAAGGGAGGCATTGTGTTGGGCACTGTGTGTCTCCAGTTCAGAGCTCCTTGGATCTTATTCCCATCCTCTTCCCTATTCCAGAAATGGTCCCTGCCTTGCGGTGGCAGACCTGCTATCAGCCAGCATTGACCTGTGGTTGAATGATGAGCAGCCTCTGTCCCCAAGGACCCCCTGCTCCGGGGTGACAGTTCCCAGGATACCTGCCCATCACCCACCGAGCATCAGTGGGACCCCAGCTCTCCCCCAACCCTCTTGCAGGCAGGCCACTGGGACTTTTATAGTTCCCAGGTCATTCTAAGCCCTCACACAGGGCTGATGCAGGGACAGAAACCTGAACAGGTGTGTGGCCTAGCAGGACCCGTGCTGGGCACTGGGAGGGCAGAAGGCACGGAGGCCGGGACAGTGGGGAAGGAGGGCTTCCCCGGTAAGACTCGTCCATGTTGGATCCTGAGCCCTGGGGGTCCACAGAGCCTCACCGAAGCCCAGTCCCTCCCCACCACCTTGCAGGAGCACTGAGGGAGATCACAAGCTGAGCCGGATCTGGACAGCTGCTAATGCAGGGGCTGCACCCAGGGCATGTTCGTTCCCCTCCAGTATGGGCCCTGGCTTTTGTTTTCTGCATTCTGCTGCTTCAGTGCTGGGGCCTTGCTGACCCCTGCCAGGCCTAGCCAGGCCTCGAGCTGGGAGGAAACAACTCCCAAGCGGTATGCTCTTCAGACACAAGCCAGCCGACTCAGAGGCCCCAACACTGGCTGTATGTGGCTCTACTTTGGGCCATGGTGCACCTGCCCTGACACCCCTGTGCTGAAATTGTCCTAATTAGCCGATCCCAAGCTGCTCACCCTGCAGGCCCTGTCCTTCCTGCAAAAACCACACCACGGCCCCTCCCCTCCTGACCCCCCCTGGGGCTCCCTGTGTGGCCCTTCTCTGAACCGTCTGCCTCCTTTTGGAACTGCAGCCATCCACCTTTCCAATGGTGACTGGCCCCTGGTCTGCTGGCCTTCCTGCACCTCCAGTTTCCTGTTAATACACTCAATCCCAAGACGCTCGTTAACTGGGCTTGTTTCACGGAAGCACCCCCGCATCTGTTGTTAGCACTTGTGGTGATAAACTTGATGACTGCGCCCCTGAATGGCCATGGCCAGCAGCATCAACACCACTCCTCCCTTGTCAAAACATTCAATAGGCTGTTCCCTGCCATGCCAGCAGGAGGAGACTCCAAGAAGTTTTAAAACTGGGCATGTGTTGTTGACAGTGTATCAGATCTGGGAAGTGGAACAGCCAAAGGGAAGGGGGGAGCCCCAGACAAGGAGGGCAGACATGTTTCTTCCAAGTCTCAGGAGCCAATGGTGAGCGCTATCAATCTAGAAAGGGCTCTAAGAGTTTGAGGACAAAGATAGAAGTGGGTTTAAACTGCCCCAGGTGACCTTGGAAGGCTGGAAGGCTGCTGGGAATGGAGTTTCCACCAGAGTGCTGTGCAGGGGAGGGTGCTGATGTCCTACAGACCCAGTATGTGAGACTCAGGGGCCCCAGTAGCCACCCCTGTGTTCCCTAAAGTTACCATGACAAAGTCTCACAACTGAAGGCTGAAGCAGCAGCAATGTTCCTTCTTGCTGTCCAGAAGTCCCAGGTCAAGGGTCAGCAGGACTCTGCTCCCTCTGGAGGCTCCCAGGAAGCACCTGCCCCAGGCCCTTCTCCTCACTTCTTGTGGCTTCTTGGTCCATGGCAGTACAAACCCAGTCTTCACATCCTGTTCCCCCTGGGGGCAAGACTATGGCCAAATTCCCCTTTGTTCCAAAGTCACCAGTCAGATCAGATTAGGGGCCACGCTATTCCAGTACGACCTTATCTTAACTAATGACATCTGCAGAGTTATGGTTTCTATCTAGACGTTCCCCAATAGCCTCGTACACTCATAGGCAGGGCTTTTGGAAAAGGATTGGACCAGAGGAGTCCAGTGGCTAAATTGTAATTAGAAGATGGAGCCTGGTCAGAAGGTGGTCACCGGGAGTGACCTGGAAGGGTTCGTCTCTCCTCCCTTCTCTCTGCCTCCTGGCCACCATGGCCTGAGCAGCTCTCCTCCCCCAGCTTCCCACCAGGCCCTTCCTGCCTTGGACCCAGCCAACCATGGACTGAAACTTCTACAGACCATGAGCCAAAAGAAATCTTTCCTCCTTTAAATCATGGGGTCAGTATTGTGTCCCAGTGATAAGAAAGTGACTAAGACATCCCGTGATTCTATTTCCAAATAAGGGCATATTCTGGATTTCAGTATATGAGTGGGAGGGCTGCCTTCCTTCCCCCATGAGATTTGGATAAAGAAGAAAACACGGGAGTGGCTGACAGAGCCAAGGTAACCTCCCCGGGTAGGGAACAGGGGAAGGGGACGTTACCAGAACCTCTGCAGTGAGTCCTAGGCTCCTGCGAGCCATGGCAGCACACAGCGAATTACAGGAGAGGTAGAAAAATGAGACTGAGAAGAAGCTGAGCTTTGGGTCTGATCAGTGCTGCTCTGAGCGTCAG